CAAAGTTTTGGTTCAGTTCAAGTTCAGTTCAAGTTCATGAACATGTTCAAGTTCAATGAATTATATATATATTATATATTGTCAAATAATCGGGGTACTGTATTTTTTTAATGAATGTACTGTACTATACATAAATATAGGTGTATTATAATATATATCCATACAGTACACCTTTTCAGTATATAAAATGTAAATGTGTACTGTACTGTATTAGATAAAAATTTATAAATGATAGTACAATACAGTATAGTATATTTGACTTGTTAAAATATGCCGAAAGTGATCTAAAAATCTACAACTCAAAGCTGACTTAAATATAACATGAATATTAATTTATTACGCAAAATAATAACGATAAATTAAAAAAAATTTAAGTGTAATAAATATGTAATTAATTTGAATATATATTTATTAATTTATTACACAGATAATAATGATAATTAAAAAAATTTTTATGTAATAAATATGTAATTAATTCGAATACATGTTCATCATTCACAATATTAATATTTTATTGTAACAATATTAATGTTAGCGAAATATATATCTTATTCGCAAATATATAACATAATATATTGGTATAGCAATTAGCAAAATATAGAATTAAAATTTAATTATTTAAAAGTTTTTGAAGTTTCTCTCGCAACATAACTTTTTTTTCCAACTCGTTGTTTTTTCTTTCTGAATTGCAAGCTTTTCTTGCTCAATTCTTAAAAGATTTCTTGTTCTTCAACATGTATAGGCTCAGTTTCAATCTAGGCTTTTTTAGAAGATTTTTGATATACTTTTACCTTTAAATTTATGAATTAGATTTATAAATTAGTTAGTATATATATATTTACAAACAAAAATATAAAATATTGTATAACTTACTAGTTTTTTTAACTGCTTCAGTAGTTTTCTGTAAAGGTGATCTATCTCGATAAGATTCTCGTACATTTGTTTTTTCATATATATAAGCTGAACTCTATTGAAGTTTATTAAACTCCTTGGCCCTATTTTAATTATAAATCAAATTTTTTTGTAAAAAATTTTTTAGTGTAAAATTTAAAATGTCAATATTGCACAATACGTTTAAGTTGTAAATATTACATAATTATGATCTCAAAATTTTCAATAAATTAATTTACTTGTTAATTGTAGCCAATAAAGATAAATTATGTCCATTCCTGTTAATATTTGCATGAGCTGATTCTTCAGTATTAGTTGTAAATAGTGTATTAGTCCAAATCAATTGTGACATTTTAGTAAAAGCAGGAGACAAGCTAGCAAGTACTCATGGTTGTTTTTTATTTTGCACCCAATCTAAAATAAAAAATATATAATTAATAAATTTGTTTTTCAATAACTGATAGTAATTAAATTAAATTATATAATATATATACCTGCTATACTGGGTTTTTCACAATATTTAAGAAATTCAAGAGTATTCATAACTTCATAAGCCATTTTACTCTTGATCAATGAATATATTTTTTTTTAATTTCTTTATTTATTTCTCTTTTATTACAAATGTTTCTATAATATAAATCGAATATATAATAAATAAAAATATAGTATTATTTATATGTACGTATATAGTTTAAATATATTTGTAAATCTTACCTTTTAAAATGTACTGTGCACAATTTATAAATTCATTCCAAATATTCAATAGCATTAAATATCAGAAATTTTTCAGCTAAATATTGACCTAGGCCTAAAATATTTATTAATACATATATGTTTATATATAATACTATAATTTCAATGATAAAAATATAAAACTTATCTAATGTTTGACCATAATGCTCATCAGCCAATATACATCTAATTTCACAGCCGTGAATATGCTGAAACTTAATAGGACATTTATAATCTTGTTCGATGCAAGCAAAAAGCTCTTCAAATAGTTTTTTGTATATATCTGCTGTTTGCAAAATAGTAAAAGCATGTGCAAATACAAAAGCTTTCAAATATAATTTTTACATTAATTAATATCTACTATACAAACTACGTGCAACACACAGAAACAAAATTTTGCTCATAATTTCTTTTGAATAGATGTGCAGATGCCACACAAAAATTGCTATTTTGTAAGTAGTAAGTATACTTGTAAGCAGTTGCTTATAATTTTTTTTTTATTTGCTGTACAGAAAGTTTCGAAATTGTGCGGTATCTGTACAGTAAATTTTAACTAATAAATTAATACTATATATGTTTGATATTAATATATTTACAATTTACTTACTTTTTTTATATTTTTCTACATAAGTACATATCTCCTATTTGTTAATTGGCTTATATACATGTTTAAAACTCATATCTATTTCAAAATATAAGGAGTCCACCAAATGCTTAATTTGATTTTCATAATCACATAGTATTAAATATTGGCCATTATTAAAAAAATCTAAAAAATAAAATAATCAATATAAATATAAATTAAATATATATAAAGATATATAATTATATATATTTACGGATAGATCTAATATAAGGATTATCTTTTTCATCTTGTTCTTGCTTTAAAAGTATGTATGCAATGCCTATAATATCTTGACCATACAGATGTTCGGTACGATGTCTTGTTGCAATCATATGATCAATTTTTGATCTATTATTTAATGATGAGTGTAATTCCGGCAGTGGAATGCCCTTTAAAAACATTGTATTAATGTATCTATAAATTTAAAATTAATATAGGATTAGAACTCATAATATAGAATTACTTAAAACAACCCCATAATATAGCCTAACATTAAAGTGTAGCCAAACTAAAATTATACAAATTCTACTAATCAAACCAAAGTCGACTATAGCAGTTCTCAAAAGTGCAGATCAATAGTACAGTTGTAGCATAAACAACCAATTGATAACAAGCCGTAATTAGTTTTTTTTTTATCTTGAAAAATGAGGTTTAGAATTATATAATTATCATTTATACAATACAATAGAATTAGCAATTATCACTGCGGCTGTGGCTGTGCCATCGATTTGTACTTTGGAGGGAGGCCATCCTAGTTATAACAAAAAACTTTTTTTTTGTAGTTCAAAAATTAAAGACATTTTTGACCAAATTAGAATTTTGAAGATTATTGGAGAAAACTGCTTTAGACAATTAATATTATATCATAAAATACATACGTATGACTAACTTTCTTGCTATTAAATCTAAGATATCCTTATCTGCAATTATATTTTTTAAATCATTTTGAATAGCCACAGGTATCTTTGATGGTAGGGTGGTGGATGGTTGTGAATATATCGTGACATAATCACAATATATGGACAATTTTCAAGATCTTCAGGCATATAATATCAAAATTTGACAGACATTTTGATTTTTCTTGAATTATTCCTTGAGCTACTTCATTACTTTCAGTAGTATAAACATAAGCTATGTGAATATAAATTAGTTAATATTTAATAATAATAATATATATAAATTAATGAAAATAAAAAAAATACATATGGTATTTTTTTGCTTGTGCACTATAAGGATAAATCATGTAGCAATATTGAATAGAATCTGGAATCTAAAAATTATATTAGTTAAAATATTTGGAGTTTTTAACTATTGGATAATTTAATTTTAGAATAAATACCTCACCACTAATTCCATCGTTATAATATATATGTTCATGAAAGAGTCTTTTTAAGTATTCAATATTAATTTGGCCAGATAAACTTTGATACTAATGGCCACATTCACCATTTTTAAAATTTCCACAGCTGATAAAATAAGTAGATGTAGAAGTATCACCTTCTTGCTATAAATAATAATAATAATAATTTTAATAAATTAATATATTTTTATTAAATAAAATAAATTGTTGTCAATAAGTCAACCAGGGTAACCCTCTGAAGTATGCATCAATAGTGCAGCTGCAGTATATAATAACCACCCAATAACAAGAATTAAAGCTATTAATCAGTACAATTGTTCCTTAAGGGGTTGAGGTTAAAATTGACATCGATTATTGTTCATACAATATAATATAATTATTGATCCACATTTTGGGGGATGCCCTGGTTAACTTATCGATCAAATGTACTGTAGTATAGTACAAGATTTGTTTGTCATAAAAATAAATTAATCAATAACACCTTATGCTATAATTAATTTTTCATAATTTTTTTTAATCTTATTACGCTATATTTTAATTAATAATACTATAATATTGATATAAAACCTGATAATGTGATCAAAGTTTAGGCTTGCCATTATATTGGATACCAGTTTGAGGATAAATAAATTTGCATGGTATTTTATGTGCTGTAGCAAATGCACTAATACATAAAAAAAATAATATTCATTAATACATATACAGTATATATATATATATAGTATATATGTTATAAATATCTACTATATATAGGGCCTTTCTAAAGTTAATTTTTATGTACATATATATGTACGTACATACATATTACTCAAAAAAATAAATAGTTAGTTACAAGATATTTATATTAATGATTTACTATTAAATTGCTTAAAGTAATCTCCAAATTGGTATAATCAACATTAAAAAGGCCTATAATAAGAAAAGATTCTTTAATTTGTTAACAAATATAATAAACTTACTTTAATATATTCGTATTTGAAGATAATTCATTCGCCTCAAATATTTTTTTAAATAGATTATTGTTAAAATCCACTGATGTATATGTTATCGCTACTAATTCAGATACTGCAAATTGGTACATTTTAATGCCATAGCATGTTCTTGTTTCTTTATAAATTTTCGTGTTTAAAAAAGAACAATAGACACTTTTACGGATAGTTCTATCTTTATACGAATACTAAATATTCTTAAGATCAAAATCTTAAGAGCTTTTTCAGTATCCATACCAGTTACATTATAAATATAAGTGATATCGTCATCAGAAGTCTCCAGATATTCTTCAAATTCAAGCTGATATTTAATTTTAGCAATAATTTCTGGCTTCACTCTACCTAATTTAATTAATTGGGGCTATATAATATTAAAATTTTTTAGTATATACTTGTAATTAAATTTTTACATTTATAATATGTTTATTTTATATACCATTTTAATTTCTTTAATTTCTTCTGTAATTTCTTCAGAATTGAATGCGGTTACTTGTTCATTGAATTTCTACTACATTATTTATCATTATAATATAAATAATTTAGTAATTTAATATCTTCAAATTTTTTAAAATTTATATTGTTAATGGATTATTTGGATCTTGGCTATCCTCATTCAAAGAATCAGAATCCCATTCATCACTAGAATTCTGTTCATTGTCAGAACCCCATTTGTCAACAAAACCCTCTTCGTTGTCAAAACTCTGTCTGTTAACAAAACCCTATTCGGTGTCAAAATTAACATACTGATTTGTATCGAACAGGCAATTTCATTCATCGTCCGAACTAACAGGTTGACTTGTACTAATTTGGTATACCATTTACGATATTAATTCGTATGTATGTACAAGAAAGAAATATACTATGTAAAAAAAACTTTTTGGCTAAATTTGTATAAAATAAAAATTTACACAATAACAATAATGCAAATAGCAATAGTTTAAATTTGTGTAATTATGATTGTGTAATATTGTTGTAATATGTACGTATATACTGTATTGGTATTTTTGCTTCACATTCTATACAATCCAGTACAAAAGGCTTTAGTCATTTATTGTATTATTATAAGTGATATACTGTACTGTATCATTTTGAAATTTTATATAATACAGTACTATATAATACAGTACTGAATTGTCTTTTATATATGCACATTCATACTGTATCATACCATCTCAAAATTTTATAAAATACAGTACTAAATTATCTTTAGTACAGTACACTATATATGTATATTCTCAAATAATCTACCTTCAATAATAAGCTATTTTTTTTTTTAGAAGAAAAACATAAAGTTTCTTAGATCTATTTAT